CATTCAAGTAATTTCTTTTATACCTGTGCCATGGGTGATGTTCAGCTGTCTGCAGTTGTATGCTCCCCAGCTCTCTTTGTAGCATGAACACAGCTCTGCAGAACCATTCTGATTAACCTCATCTCTGTTCAACACCATCTGTCCCACTGGATCCATCAGCCTTAGGTAGATTTTAATAATTCTTAGCTGCCAAACAGGGAGACTGGTATTCCTAGTGATTTTCAGAAGACTGACTTTTGCTCCTTTGGCACTGTGGAAGGGCACAGAAAACACAACTCACCACTGCTCTGCATCAGTCGTGTCTCTGCTGCAGGGATGCAAGTTCTTCCAGTGAACTTTATTACAAACAGGTTGTGAGGGGGGAGGACTAAGTGCACAGAAATTATCTAGGAAAAGTCTGATGCCTGTAAACTGCAAAAGTGACATTTAAATGTAAATTTAAAAAAAAAAAATCAGGTGAAAGACATTTGAGTTTAATGTCATCAGCACCACAGACATAAGTGTGCTGTTCACCATGTAGTAACCTCTTCCAGCACACAAATCTCCAGGTATATGATGTGTTGACAGCAGGAAAGCTTTGCCTATAAGGTTTTTTTCCTGCACTTCTGAACTCCACACTGACAGGAAATTTCTGTCCCTGGCATGCTTCCAGCTTCGTAACCATAATCCCAGGTGAGTTCAGTTCCAGCTTTCACATGCCTAAGAAATAAAACACTCAGTTAATTTGTTTCAACTCAGTGAAACAGTCCTGTGCTTACAATTTGTCACCAAGAACTCCCTTGCAAACCCCAAAATCAGAGGGGGCAGGGAGCATCACAAGGAGCCTCTGGCACATGCATGCTGCTTTGCCTGCCAGAGCTACAGAGAGTGCAAAGAAATTTCCTTAGGAGGAAAGAATTTCTCAAGCAGTGCAGCTGGGTCAGAGTCTAAACAACTTAAAGAACCCATAAGTGAATACAACTAAAAGAGAACACAGATGGTTTTGTTATTTTTACTAGGTGCAGTGCACCACTGAGGTTTGAACAGATCTCTAGATATGCTGGTGATAAAAACCATCATCTTTGGTCTGACAAACCATGTTTCAATGAAATTGCTCTATGTCCCTGAAGCCTCATGCTCAGAATTTAACATGTTCCTTGTGAACCAGCCACTCTGACAGTACACAGAAGAAATTTCTAAGACAGGAAGTTCACTGCCTAAAATAAATGACAATTTAAATACCTGCGACTAAAATTCTGAGGGACAACTGAGAGAAAATGTAATAAAACATGAGTATGACAAAGAGTAACTCTCTGCTAGGGATATGACTAAAAGGACATCCAGTAAATTGGCAGGAAGCAGCCTGAGAACAAATAAAAAGAGGACTTTTCAAACAGCCCATAATGGGAGCCTGAGACTTTCTGCCTTAGGATGTTCTGGAGGCTAGAAATGGAAAACAAATAAAAAGGTGACTGGACAAGTGCACAGAAAATGCACAATTAAGCTTAAAGATCCAGAGGCAGTCCTTCATGTAGAAAAGTTGTAAAAGAGTGATTGCCAGAAAGCAAGAGGGCCAACCAGGAGAACATTCCTTCAACCTTCTTCTCTGAGTGGCTTCTGTTCACCACTATTACCTTTCTCCCCTGGCCTCAGTCCCCACTACACGTTTCTTTACCAAGTTCCTGACCAACAAAGACTAGCTAAATTTACTTTTTTTTTCTGAATTGCAAAACATTGTTTTCACAGTTTTTAGAAGCCTTCCTGACAGCACAGTCTCCAGCACCTGTGTCAGTATGGACCAGGGTTGGAAGGCTCCACAGAGAATCAGTGTTCCCTGGGGTCAGTTTGTCTAGAACAAATCTTCTCCTCTCTATTTTAAGTTCTCACCTAGTACTCCCACTATGTTGTGCATCAGCTAGCTTCATTTATGCAACTAATCTTTCCCCTCCTGGCAAAAGGTGCTGCCTTCTGGTGTCTCACTGGCACCATCTCTCTGTACTTCCCTTTCCATTATCCACTGAGGGAACACCCACATCTTTTGCTTTCAGTGAAGGATTTCACCTCTGAGTATCCTAGTGCCACCTCCACAGGACACAATGGGCTACACAAAGTCCTCCTTCACTTGGTAGCTGTGAGGTGAAGGCCTGGAGCCAGAATTATTTCCTAATAACTACACACTGCTTTTCCTCCTTAGTGCCTTGAAATTAAAACTTCCAGAAATTCACCTGTTTGTGAAGAACGCCACCCATGGGAAACTCCTGTTGTGAGTCTCTACAAACACACTCTGTGCAAAGAGATTTGGGCAGCAGCTGTGCTGTGAAACAGAATATTTGAGTTAGAAAAGATTCCAACCTAAAGAATTCTATGATTCTATAAACACCTCGTTGTTGGCTGAAGAACCTGTTTTGTCTCAGGTGTCTGTCACTAGTAAAAGTAGCTTCTTCCTTCTCCTCTCCAGCCCATGCTGCATCTCTCTTAGTGCCATTATTTTTGCAGTAATTATGTCTCTTTAAAGTATTATTTCCACCATATTATGTAAGTACTTTTGCCTAGGAGATCCAAGTTCTTTTACCAAGCTATCCTGCAGATATCTCTGGTGAGAATTCATCCCTGATTCAGGATGCTCCACAAATAATGAGTATGTGACAGACCTTGCTGTCAGCCAGGGAAGCAGTGCCAGCAAGCAAGAGAGAGACTAAGTGATGGGGTGTGCTGGCAAAGAGATATGAGATGTGAAAGGTCATTCAGGTGAACCTAGGAACACGTGTATGGTCATGAATATATACATTTGTATATATTCAGTTTTATTATTGTTTTCACTAAAGCTGTTTTACTTTTCTAATCTAGAAGTCTTTCTCCCTCCCTTATTCCCTTTCTCTTCCTCTTTGGGAGTGGAAAGGTGTTAACAGTCTGGGGAGCAGCCCTTACTCCAGACAGTGACACCTTAACACCATATTACCTCTGCAATGAAGAGCAGCTTAAACATATCCAAGGATTTTGCTGCAAGACATGTTCATGCCAACAAAGAGAATAAGTTACTTGCAGAATACATGCAGCCATGTCTATGAAACGTTCACCTTACTTGGAGGTACTTGGTAATTCACTATTATTTCTTGGCAAGCCAAAACTGAGGGACTTATTTAGTACATATGCACACAGTACATATATTCACAGCACTTTTTGAACCTATGATTGAATGGTAGAGAAATTACCTTCAGTATTGTAACACTTACCCTACATCAGCACAAGCTACAACTTACAATGGTTGGGGATCAAAAAACCAGGAGGCTGGGAGAAAGCTTGTGGTTCAACAAAATGTGTCCTTTGCACTCTACACCCCCCAAAAAAGGCTGTTCAAAAATTCAGGAGAAAGATGTCACTCATTACTGGGGAATATTTCACTTGGGAATCTAGCAGTGTTAAAATCTAAAGGTGGTAGGTAGCACACGTGCTCTTATGGATGCACTAACAGCCAGTGTGAGCCAACCTGCTGTTCTGCCAGCTCAGAGTGCAGGGAGCAGCACAGGGCCTGCCTTGGCATGCCCCTACCACATATATATATGGTTTATGAGCAAAAGCTTTCTAGTTTATGCAAACACATAACCTATTTAAAGCACGGTGTCTTTTAGGGCTGCACTAACAGCCAGTGTGAGCCAACCTGCTGTTCTGCCAGCTCAGAGTGCAGGGAGCACCACAGGGCCTGCCCTGGCATGCCCCTACCATATATATATATATATGGTTTATGAACAAAAGCTTTCTAGTTTATGCAAACACATAACCTATTTAAACTAAGGCAGTTAAGACATGCAACTTTTTACTTACATTCAGAAAAATATATGGTTTATGAACAAAAGCTTTCTAGTTTATGCAAACACATAACCTATTTAAACTAAGGCAGCAAAGAGAAGACATGCAACTTTTTACTTACGTTCAGAAAACGACCCACATTTCCTTCTTTTGTGGCATCCAGTGCATAAGTATTTTCTTCAGTAGCAGTCTTCAGAAACATCCCATCACCATCAGCCTCCTCACAAAACACATCTTGTTTTGGCTGCCTGGGATTTTCCTCTTTGCAGTCAGCTTTTAGTGGGGCGTTTTTGGATGGCCTCACAACATACTCATCAGCCAGCACATCTGCCTTGCCACAAGCAACACCCTGCAGAGACAGACCCTTTCTTTTGCATTCTGCACTGTCCATGCCAGCAGACTCAGTCTGTCCAATTTCCATGGGATGTTCTTCCCTCTGCTGCTGACTGGATTCTGTCAATGGACACGCACGTTATTTTTCAACACCAGTTGAAAGCCAAAGCCCTTCCTGGTTCTTAACTCTTACCCACCCACCCTTTGTTCTCCAAAAAGTACACAGCTTGCTTGCTATTTACAAGTCTCTAACAGAACTGCCCTTTGCCATGACTCCTGCAAATGCCTGTTGCCTGCTGTGGTGCCTAAAGCACTTGCTCAAGTCACCTGTGAGTGACCTAGCCTCTCATTCTTCCAAAATCCCATGCCAGATTGATTTCTTCCACACAGCATTTTATCATCCTTCTCCCCCTTAACTCCTGAGAGAACCAAACACTGCAATTAAGACAGAAACCAGATTCCTGAGTGGATAGCATGGGCTTCAGCTGCCTCTCCAGCCCAAGGTCCCCCCACCCCTGCATCACACCCTGCTCAGGTTTTGCTGCCTGGAACATGTATTGGGTGAGAAACATCTGCAGGATTGACTTTCCCACAGTCACACTGGATTTGACAAGCTGCTGTCAGGACTGCTCAACATGTCCCAGGGACAACCTTGGAGGGAAAAGATTGCCCTGTAAGAGTTAATGTGCTGTATTAGGCAGGACAGCAATGATCTCTGTACCACTGACAGCCTGAGTGCTGTGCAGACAACATCACTCTGCTCTGAGAACAGGCCCACTCACACCCAAAGATCACTTTCCACATTTTAAGTCCTGATGAGGCACAGTTGTACTATGAGTGCAGTATTTATAGCTCTGCAAACCTACTTTCTTTTCCTTTCTTTGCTCCACTGGTTAGTTTTGTTTTGCTTGACTGATGAATCTGAGAACTATTATCTTCATCTGAGCTGGCACTGTGCACCAGTGGATCACTTTCCTTTAAACAGAATAAAAGATAATGAAAAAAGGCTGTGATGTATTGTTGCTGTGTGCAACTCTGGGTCAAGACAGGACAGCAAGTGGCTTTCAGGACTCCAGGGTTGAAGTTTCAAACCTGCTGCAATGCACAGCTATGGCTGAGTTTCCAAAGTTCACACATTTGCTGCAATGCAATGTTTAACTGAATTTCAAATCATCCTTCAGAATAACCTGGAAGGAGCTCCCCACTCAATAAGACATTTAAATAAGTGCTTAAGTCCCAACAATTTCACCAGAGTTTAAACACGTGTGTGTAAGTTGCTGAATCAAAGCCCAAATGTTGTTTTTTTTACATGGTTTCAAGAAAATGTATAGATTAAAAGGTCAAAATTAACATACATATTTAATCCTCTAAAGCCACTTATTTTTATTATTATTATTACCATTTTTAGCTGGTGATTATGTAAAACAGCTGTCCCAGTTCCAGGCCTTCTTGAGGTTGCAATACTTAAATTCCTTGGATGAATCCTGTATGGAAAGGTCAAAAGGAAATGATAAAAGACAAAGAAACTTGTAAATAACTCTCACAATATCCTTTTCTCAAAAAATTCATTAAGAACAGACTACAACAGAGCCTGCACTCTGACCTCACCTCAAGTTCTGTGACTATCTTGCCTTTAAGAATTGAGCTAGGTTAATAGTATTTGTAAAAAAAATCAGTTATTTAGTCTTTTTTGAGAGATCAACAGCTGCTTTTACAGCCTTTCCTAGTTCTCCTGCTGAGAACCAAATTCTCTGCTGTTTTACTATTCTTGTATCAAAACATCTCAAACATCTCATCCAAACAGAGCATGTGCAGACAAAATTTTGTCCTTTTTTAAAGGACATTTATGAGATTTAAGGCAGCAGTGCAGTAAAACAACTTTAAAACTGTGCTGCCCTTTATTTAAGTAAATTATCAGCCATCAGCTAGATTTATGTCATTTACAAAATTAGGTTTCTAAGACCCTGAAGTGCAAGGGAGAATATACTGGCAGGTATTTTAAGAAGTTTCCATTGGCAATTTCATGGTGCTTCTCAAAGATCCACAACAGTCTTCTACCATGAAGTGAGCAAGAAGTTGCTATCCTACAGGAGTAGCACAAAGGAAGTGTTTACAAAATAGGGTGACCCTTGTGTCACCAAGTATCTGTAAATCATTTATCTCAAGTACCTTTTATTAAGTCTTTCAAATTAGCATAATGATTGATGTCCTGAACAGATTAAGTACATCCAGGAAATGAATTTAGCTTCTAAAAAATGCTAAGTGGTACACACAGTAAGTAAAATTAATAGAGGAAAACTCTGTCCCAGTAGAAGAAATAATCACAAATTAACAAAGTAGAGAAAGAAGAAAAAAAAAAGAAAACACCCTCAGATGAGGACTTTCAACCCTATTCTTAAGTTTTAGAAAAGACTTTCTAGAACAGCAGACTATTAGCCTTGTTAAGCTTGTTTTCATGAACTTACAGGGTTGATTTATTTTCATTATCCACAGTCTGAGACAAAGATTCCTGCTTCTCAAGAATGTAATTTTTGCCAGCCTGTGTTAGTTCAGTCACAGAGTCTGAACAATCAGTGTCAAGTTTTCTTTTTTTTGAAAAAAAGCCATGGCCTCTGCCACTCACATCACTCTTCTCCTTCAGCTCTTGACCAGTATCTCCAAATACCTGACCTTCACTTTTGCTCATTAATCTGCCTGGAAGAAAAAGAAAATAATTAAAGAAAAACCAACCACAACTCTCTGTCTCTATCACAGATTCCTCACTGCAGCTAAAACTTATATTAAAGATGCAAGAACATTACTTGGGAAAGCAAAACATAGATGCATTTATACTGAAGGAAAATTACCCCTGGCACAGACCTGTGAAGGAAAAATCAGCAGTTTTGAGATAAGCTTTGCTCCAGAATGTTTGTCTGGCACCACCACATTGCAGAGTTCTTCTAGGTCCTTCTGTCTGATCATCTTGCAACGTACAATTCTACTGACTCAACCTCATGTTTCCCTGTTTGGTTCTCAAAAAAAAACCCCAGGGCACAGGCCTCAGGAGAGGGAGAATGCTGCTATACATCATGCTTCAGCCACCAGCCTCCTGCTGTTACCTGAGAAAGTACAAACAAAGGTGCCCTTGTCGATGTCATCCAGGCAGCGGACGCCCCAGCCCTTCTTCTCCGTGTTGAACACCTGCAGCCTGAGCTGGATGCCATGCTGCACAACTCTGTTCTGACACATCAGCTTGTCACACCTGCACAGCAGGCTGCACTCGTAAATCCTGCCAGGGGGAAGCAAAACAAAACACAGTTAAAGAAGGCAGCACCAAAACAAAGGTGCTGTTGTTGATTTCCGTCTGGAGCGCTGGCTGAGAAGATAAAGAGTGGCTCAAAGGGGCTGTGCAGCAGTGCTCTGAAGTTCATGATGGCTGATTCATTAACTTGAAGAGTCTTGTCAGCCAGATTTTGGTATAAGTAGACAAGAAAAATATAGGGTGCCTTTATTTTATAGAAGTAAATCCCACAGAAGCACAAAACCTTATGAAGCACCTCATTCTATACTGGAACAGACCATGGCAAAGGCAAACTGCCTGCCTTGGCATCACTGGAGCTGGCAGGAGTTCTAGGATTCAACAAAATACTTCTAAAAGAATTCACAGTGGTGTCTTTTTCTGCACTTGCTTGCTGGCAGCTTTAATCCTGCATGCCAACCATCAATATCCCACTGCAACAAGGGCCAGAAAGGGGCTCCTCAAGCCTGGGGGTTTAGCCCTTGGCTATTGAAGAGCTACCTTGCACTTCAATTATTTTTATGATCCTGATCCTTCAGTAAAATGGTGACAAAAATGGAAGGTTTCAGTGGTCCAGGATCTGCAGCTATTTTAGTCCTGTAGCAGTTAGTCTACAGGAGTAAAATAAGAGCATGCAAATAAAATAACAGTTAATAGTTTGGCCTTTCTTACCCACTAGGAACAGGTCCCTCCAGCCTTTTGTAACTGTATCCATGAGATGTTTTAATACTTGAAGACAGAGAAACTTTACTACAGCCTCTTGCAGTTAGCTGCAAGCATGCACATTTTGACCTAAAAAATAACAGTGAAAGATCTCAGATTGTATTTGGGGCAGTGCACATCAAACATACATCTCAATAATTTAAAATGTACCCGACTATATACACACACACACACACACTTATGTATACCTATATTCCTTCCCCCCTAATTTTACTCCACAAGACCATTTCAGGCACCCTACCCTTCCTCAATAATTTAAAATGTACCCGACTATATACACACACACACATTTATGTATACCTATATTCCCTCCCCCTTACTTTTATCCACAAGGTGTACCCGACTATATACACACACACACACACACTTATGTATACCTATATTCCTTCCCCCCTAATTTTACTCCACAAGACCATTTCAGGCACCCTACCCTTCTCTTTGTCTTCTCACCTGGTTATGTGTGGTTTACAACAATCATGTTCTCTCCACCCCAACCCCATTTTTCACCTCAGCTCTTGGGGGAGTTGATACCATCCCACAGCACGAGCTGCAGCAGAAGTTGTCAAGCAGGATCCTTCCCTGCCTGCCAGGAAAACAGGCCTTCCCCTGCTGGCACAAGACTCTCCCTTCCCCACTCCTTTCCCAAAGCTGGGAGATCTGCTTGCCAGCTCCACCTGAAAAAGTATTGCCAATGTGGGAAGAAAGGGAAAGGACCACAGCAATCCACCTGTTGATCGCTTCCTTCCCTATAGAATCACAGAATCCTTTAGGTTGGAAGGGACCTTTAAGATCATCAAGTCCAACCAGTGAGCACACAAGTTCTGGAGAAGACAAAGACACAGTGCCACCAGCCAGCAGAGCTCAGGCCACAAGAAACCTACCAGAGATATCCCAGCAGCGTTGGTCCTTCGTGATTTGGCACCGTTTGGTGCCTTCACACCTCCACCACCCCCCTGGTACTATGGAGGCATCATTTGGTCCAGGAGCAGGTTTTTCTACCTACCTATCAATGCAGCCATCTGTGCAGTCACACGAATCAACAAACACACTGGAGAAGTTGTTGAGATAATATCCACGTGGCCACGATGCTCTCCGGTACTTGAAATAAGGTAACCTGGCTCGGTCAAGGTCATTACAGAAGGAAACAGGCACAGACTCAGCCCCATGGCTAATGTCAAAATCAAACACCAGGGGTTCAGGACGTGCAACGTTCCTGCCCAGCAGGACGTAGGTATTGAAGGAGAAGTGATCCACAAATAAGAAATTGCACTCTGTTTCAAACAGATAATTCTGCACGTCTCGAAAGCTCCTCAGACTTCGACCACAAGGAGCTTTGTAACTCACATCCAGGGCCTTGGAGAGGCAGTCTGCTTTTGCATGGCGCCTCTGGAACTGGAACAGGATTGGGATCTTCAGAGGATTTTCACCCTTGAAGGAGCCTGCTGCCCTGTTGGCAAGGCAGGTGCTAGAGCACTTGTGGTTCTGATACGGCACGGTGAACGGTGGATCTTGAATTTCACCAGGTGATTCTTTACTCCCTGGATCTGTTTTTTCTGTCTCCTCCTCTTTGTCACTTGAAATAAAAAAGGAAAAAAAAAGAAGAGTAGCACCTTAGGCAATCAGTAAAACAATCAGGTTTTTAGTGGTTCAATATTATTAGTGCAGGAAAGAAACAGTCCATTGCTAGATAGCCGAGGGTTTCACCAAATCCCTGTTCTCACTGTGTCACTCTCCTAACATCATATGGAGATGTATTTAGTGTCATTAAAAAACAAAACAGGCTGCAGCTTCGTCCCAGAAAGAACACACATACTAAAACACAGAAAGGATGTTAAAAAAAATAAATAAAAAAAGAATGTCTTCACCCCCATCTTCCAAATCAGCACCTGAGGCTAAATACAGAGAGACCAAGGCATGTGTCTGACAATCTGCACAGCCTGGCAGAGCCTGAGAACTGAACCCAAACACTGCTAAGTCCTAAACCTGACAATCCTGGTAATACTCATGGATCTTTATTCACAGTTTCATGCCCTGGTTTGTGGTTTTCCATATAGGATGAGTAACAATTAATTCCACTTTGAAAAATCGGCAGGACTCAAAACTATGTTTAAAAATGTACAATTTAGAAATACAAGAGATTAAAAACTCTCTCAAATGAATATGTCAAATAAGGCACTGGAATAAACTGTTAAATACACTGACCTGTGAGAACTTTCTGCAGAGTCTGCAGTGTTATCATCTGTCAGAAGAGGCTGCAATTTGGGTTTGGTTTCCTGTGTGTCATCTCCATCAATCCCATCACTTACTGAAAGAATTGGAGTGCAAGCAAAAAAACCTCAGAACCCACATTTCCATTTATAACAGAACTTACTTTAGTCACTAAAGAGATAAATGACAAAATACATTAAGAACAGTGAGTTGCTGCAAACTACAGCTAACAAAGAGCATGCTAGCAAGTGCCCTACTGAAAAAGAGAAGCTGCTCTGTATAACTTATACAGAAGGAATGTGTTTGCATATAGGTGTGCAAGGGAGTCATGAGCTGACACACACTCCCACTTTCTCTCCTGCTCCTCCTTTCCTTCACCCTCCCTCCTTCCCCTTCCCTAAAGGGGGAAAAACTTAAGTGTGCACTGACAAACCTGAGGCAAAACTGGATCATGGAGATTTTACCCTTTTTCACAGAGCAGCAGCTGATCTGCACATTAAAACCTTCCATGTAGCTTTCAAAATGCATGGAGACAGTGTGCAGATGGAACACACATGTACAGATTTCATTATTTGAGAAAAAATGGATGCAGGACATGACAGCTAGTGGAGG